ATTAAGTACGTATAAGTGGTTGCTATGTGTGTTCGTATTTTAGGCGAAAGAGACGAATCGCTTGGATTCATGATATAAACTTGTCAAGAGAGGAACTGGGGGAGTTTTATACATTGATACCTCAACTCCTGAAGGACGAAAAACAGTTCTACATATATTTAAGGATGAATATTGACAGGTTTGATGCAATCCTGAGAGCCATCGGGCAAGAAGATATCACTAAACAATATACCAATTGCCGGAGGCCTATTCTTGCCATTAAGTGGAGGATTTTTTTGATACCCATAGAACTGAAAGAATGAAATATAAAACACATTGTATCAGCAGCGTGTTTGCTTCATAATTTTCTACATCTCAAAATCTGTGATGAAAAGTACAGGGAAGAACTGCTACGAGTGGAGCCATTAGAAGGAGAAATGTTCCCTATCCAACCTTTACATCTCCCAAGGGTGGCAAATGTTAGCTACGCCATTAGAGAGTGGTTTGTTGCGTACTTCAACTAGATGACTGTCCCTGGAATTCGTGTTAGTGAACGGAACTGGTGCATAGCATACACTAAGAATGCCCACAGTTACTGTATACTTAACCCTATATAAATATATACAAATTTTTCTACTTGCTGTCTCTGTTCATTGTAACAGCCAATTCCTTCCACTTTCTATCCTTAGCACGTGAATCCTTGAACATCGGATGACGAGTATCGTACAATAAAGCATTCTCTTTGACGAACTCTATTATTTGTTCCATCTGCCTACCCATGTCGTTTCACGTACGTATAGATACTGATTGAGTGTGAGTCATGGCCAGCTGGTTATCGGGTGTCAAAGATTCCCGAGGTTCCCGAGTGTCGCGCCTGTGTGCGCGGCCCACTCGGTAAACAACCGCTTTCGTCCCGAGTGCTATATCGTCCCGAATCGTATCACGTCTGTGTGTGGGAGCCTTTAGTCTCACCCCCAAGAGTAATTGGGTCCCACAGAACCAACCATGAGAATGCAGTTACAAAAGAAGAGCAGGTATATTTACCCTTGGATACGACATGCAACCACAAGGGTGTCCCGAACTACGAGAAATAAATCAATAAAGAGAACAGAGAAAACTACATAATGAATTCAATTTATACTCCAAGATAGTGTGATGGGTGCACATGTTACAAGTACATACATGAACAGCAATATACACAAATTGAATTTAGCTTGGATAATTTCAAGGTTCAAAATTACTTGGTAGAAACTAAAGGATAAATTCAAAATGGAAATATATTATAAAAGGTGAAATTGCTTCTACTCAGGACACAAAAAACCACTAAAAATTCCATTCAATTTTACTGCTTCATTTTTATGGCAATTACAAGATCCTACTGCCCTCTATAATTAAAAATCAGAGCATAAACATAAGAGGAACCATTCTTATACTATTTTCAGTATTACCTGCATCAAAGCTCGTTACAGTGGACAGAGTAGACCAAGAACGGACCTCAGCGCCCAACTGTGATACAACTTTTGTCTGCATGGTGATCTATAATGAGAATTAGTTATTTTGAGACTATTAAATCATCAGAGTCAGGCCAGTGCACAGTGTATGGTACTGGAAGGTCAGACAGAACTCAGAAGCCTGTCTGTATTGCAGCACATCTGCTGAAAGCTGGAATAGTTTAATCAGAAGAGATGTCCACTGCTAGGTTCTGACAACGTAAACACGCAATGGCACTACTGAATGACCATTTGTTGCTATGCAATGGCCAGTAACTGTTGCGTGACCACAGCAATGGTTATGCATGCAACAATATAAGAAATGCTGAGGAAGTCTCAAATCTGAGAAAGTAAAATATGGTTGAGTCCCATGGAACTTGGATGGAAGAATGACTGTGCTGGTGAGGGCCAGCAGCAATTGTGACAGACCCATCCTCTTGTCAGAGAGGCTGCCCCACATCTACACCCTTGCAACTGTTTAATAGTAAGAAAAATCTGGTCTTGGACCCCAGATGGGGCTGGACACCAAGACAGACTGGCCAACTAACTTTACTTAGGTGATGAGGCAGCCATTGAAACATATGCTACCTGAGTTAGGGCATGATCTGCTGTGCAAAGCCTAGACTGACAGAGGCCTCGTATATGTTGTACACACATACAGAGTGACATATAAAGCTATAAATAATATGTATCTATAAGAAATTGAATTTATGACAAATGATTATGGAAAATGCAGACAGGTAAAACTGTAAATACAAATGTATGTATGGCTGACTGTAACTGCAACAGATGACAGATCTGTCCCCCACATAAAAAATGCTCTCTGACAGTAACAAATACCTGGCCTTGGGCCCCAGATGGGGGTTGACACCAAGGCTGACTGGCCGACTGACTGTCAGTCCTAATGTGACCTCAACTTTGATTTTCAGCCAGCTGAGTGGTCAGTCGTTAGCAGTCTCAGAAAGGATGTCCTGGGCCCTGGCTAGGAGGCCAGGAGGAGAGCAGTATGATCTTCAGTAGGCAGTTACAAAGTACAGTCCTTGAGCCATAAGGGCGTTGAGGAATAGTCCTTGTTAGAAGATTACAACCAGGACACCTAGCTCAGTTGCGAGACAGGTGTCAGCCGGCGAGGACAGAAGCTGCTTAACATAGAAGCTGAGGAGCCATTTTCATGCAGTGCCTAGAGAAGACTAAGAAAACACACTACAGTGAATAAAAAACTACAGGAACTAGTGAAACTGTTGTAGTTACTTGTAGGAAGTCCAATTAATCTGATTACTAAACCAAACACCATGTCCAGTCACTAAATACGTGACAATATAACAAATTACTGAACATAATAATACTACACATTAAAGCTGCCAAAAAATTAACCAGATCCTCTGAAAGTTCACAACACCCCAATTTCATTTTTCTGCATTTTCAGACTATTCTAGAGTTATTATACAAGAGACAAACTGCTATATACGAGTAATTTTCTACAAAACATGCTGCATACAGAACTTGTAGATATCTTCATGATATTCATTCATCAGTAATCTGTCAGATGACAGGTCCACAGTCTCTTCCAAAACAATTCCACCACTTAATGCGATCTAGAGCTTTCTCCTTCAAATGACAGTATCCTCTTCTGTCCCGAAGGTCATCCATGATCTTCTTAATCTTCCTCGTCTTCTTGTCACTTCTATCCGCCCCTCTATCTTTCCTTCAATAACTTCTTTTAGAAGGCAGTTTCTGCATAAAACATGACCAATCCAATTAATAACACTTCTTCATTTCTCACATAATCGGTCCAACTGATCTTCTCCATCCTTCTCCAACACCACATTTCGAAGCTTTCCAGGTGTTTCTGATCTACTGCCCTAAGTGTCCAAGATTCAGCCCCATACAAAGCTATGCTCCAAATGTAGCATTTCACTAGTTTCTTTCTAAAATTTAAGTCCAATTTGCTGGTAAAAAGGTTCTCCTTCTTGTTAAATGCAGCTTTTGCCATGGCAATCCTAGATTTAATTTCACAAGTACACCTTCCATCATCTGTTAACAAGCTACCCAAATATTTAAAACATTTCACATTCTCCAGTCGTTTTTGGTCTATCTTTAATGTGACTGGGGTTGGTTGTCTCGAAATTTTCATTACTTTTGTTTTTTCCACATTCATTTCCATGCTACAGTACCTTCCAATTTTGATTAGCCTATCAATCATACCCTATAGCACAATTTCTTCCTTAGCCATTAACACAAGGTAATCTGCATATTTCACAGTTTGAATAATTTGCCCTCCTAATTTGAAGTCTTCAAGCCCATCCAGAGCTTTATTGGTAAGGCATTCACTGTACAAGTTGAACAAGATTGGTGATAAAGAGCATCCTTGTCGAACTCCTCTTCCAATCTTCACACTTCTTGCCTCCCCTCTGTCCAGTCGCACTCTAACTTTCTGATCTATGTACAATTTGCTAATCAATATTCTTTCATGCCAATCGATACCTGTTTCCTTTAGCATCTGCATTAATTTGGTCCAGTTTATACGGTCAAATGCCTTCTGACAGTCTATAAAGCAAAACACAGTTCTTCATCTATCTCCAAAGTTCGTTCCGCTATAATTCTCATCATCCCAATTGCATCCCTGGTTCCTTTTCTCCTTCTAAATCCAAATTGATCTTCTCCAAGTACATCCTCCATTTTCCTTTCAATTCTTCTTTTAAGTATCTTTGCTATTATCTTTGCTGTATGTGCAATAAGGCTTATTGTGCGATGGTCACTGCATTTTGTAGCTTTTGTCTTTTTCTTTAAGGCAATCATTGTAACTTCTGTAAAGTCCTTTGGCCACTCTCCACTTTCATATATGGTCTTCATTAGTTATGTCAGTGTTTTCAAACCACCTTCTCCCAGTAACTTGAGCACATCTCCAGGTACATCATCATCTCCTGTAGCCTTTCCCTTCCTCATTTCCTTGATAGCTTTTTCCACCTCACTTTGTAAAATATATGGTCCTTTCT